TTTGTGTGGGTGGCCTTCGCTTTGTGAGTAAACGGTTTGTTTACAAATGCTGATGGGCTCTTTTATATTGTTGATCCAGATTTGTGAAGCCGAGTTATTTACGAAAGAGAGTGTCGATGAAGAGAATCGATCAATGTAGATAGGACCTATTGAAAAGTGACGCGAGATTTGTTTTCCGTACTGAGCTCCAATGCTACAGACGCCAGGGAGGCAGCTCCCAGAGATGTTATGCCTAAGAACATGCCGGTGGCGCCGACTGAGATTGGACCCAGGCCTGCTGGGGTGAGAGGTAATCACGCTAACCACAGACGCCTATCACGGCGAATGAGAACGACCCTAATTTGAGTTTAGTTATCTCAGAAATAAGAAATAAAGTGCAGGAACTCAGCGATGAGTAAATTTGTCTCATGTTTTCCCAGGTTTTTCCGGGATTTTCCAGGGAAAAATTCCCGAATTTGAGAAAAGTAAAGATTGGATTCACTCAGTCTATTGGCACTACTCCGAGACTGAATAAAATTTTCGTCAATTTCCTCATTTTCTGGCAGATTTTTTCGGTTTTTCACACGAAATCATGAGGCAAATTTACTCATCGCTGAGTTCCTACACTTTTGGCGATTATGAATGAACTAAACTCAAATTTGGGTCGTTCTCATTCGCCGTGTACGCAAAAAGAAAAAAGCCAGTGTTGCTACTTGATAGCAAACTACTCATAATGGGAGAAGTATTTGTAGCTTTTATACCACATCATTCTGCTTTAACCTAAAAAATATAAAGCAGCGCTGCTGTCTGGTATCAGCTCATTTTCGCTTCGGACGGCGTGGTCAGCAATAGCACCAGTAGGTCGTGGCTGGTCGTGGCAAAGGAGGTGCCAATCGTCATCGCACATTCTTCGAGATAACCACCATCCGTCGTCTGGCTCGCCGTGGCAGTGTCTGATGTATCTCCGGTCTGATCTACGAGGTGTGCTGAAGGTGTTCGTGGAAAATGAGGTCCGTGATGCTGTCACCTACTCTAAACACGCCAAACGTAAGTGGCCATGGATGTCCTCTTCAATAAAACGGCCCTTTTCAGGGCCATCAAGCTTACATCAGTAAAGAGTTGGAATAGAATTTATCTGTGCTTGTTTGTCCATATTCAGAACCACAAGCCCCCAACGACCACACAAACTTGCAAGCAGGGGTGCAATTGATTTGGATTGATTCTCGTAATCAACTTTCTTTTTGAAAAAGATTACTACAAATTTGGATCGCCTACAATTCAAAAACGGAAAGAGTTGAGATAATAGATATTTCAGGCATAACATTTGATAACGGCACAAAAGCATTTGTAAACAAACCTTCTAAGGCCCTTTACACGCGAACCAAAGTACGCCTACGCAAACCAACAACATCAGCGCATAGGGGCAACTATCACCTTTCCGAAAGTGGTATTGGTTTGCGTGGGCGTACTTTAGGTCGCGTGTAAAGGGCCTTAGAATGTTTGTTTACAAATGCTTTTGTGCCGTTATCAAATGTTATGCCTGATCTGATCAATTGAAAGAACTTAATGCTCTTCACATTTATTCCGTCCACTAGCGGTCCTACGCCAAGCTTCCGTTCGTGCCCCTAGGCACAGACCCTTCTACTTTTTTTGGATCATTAGAACATCCCCCAAGTGCTCTTTCTTCCGGAATTATGTCCTTGTTTCCTTCGACTGTTTCGTTAGCACTCTGGCTTCCGACTTCCTCCAGAATTTTTGTCCAATCTACCTTAGGAAGTTTCTGCCAGCGTCTCCAGGAAGTTTCTTCCGTTTTCTCCAGGAAGTTCAATTAAACTTCTCCCAGAACTTTTTTTCTAGTTCTGGAATTTTGTCCATTTGATTTTTTTTTTACTTCTATTGGTAAGTTTTTTGAGCTTCTTCTGGAAATTGCTACTTCTGGAATTTATTTCCGGTTTCCGATACTTTGAACGTGAAAGTTTCTTTAAATTTTCGCCAGAAGTTTCTCAATTTATGCCTTGAAAGTTCCACGGATGTTTTTCCGACTTCTCTCAGAACTTTCCTCAAATTTCCTCCAGGAGAGCTTCTTTCTTCTTTCTCTGGATGTTGTTTTCAGTCGCTTTCAAAAACGGCAAAAATATAAAATTAATTAAAATAGTAAATACCGATAAATACCGATTTTTTAAAACCATTGATACCGATAAGCTTTAAAACATTCTGGCAACGCTGCTCCATTCACAACCGTGTCAGTGTTGTCATGACGGTAGTAGCGATGGTCTTTATGTACCAGAAGCTCTGTGACTTGATGTTTGTTCGGAAGGATCAGTGGATGACGCGCGTTGTAAGAAACGTCCTTGGCGGCTCCGATTTGTCCCTGTAGTTTTACGAAGTTCCCAGAAGTTAAAGAAAAATCCTGGTAGAGCCTGTATTAAATATCGATATAATATAATTTATCAAAATTGCTTCTTCTAGTTCAGAACGTAAGAAAAGTGGTCAACTTAACTTTAAAATAGATTAGTAACATCGAACTTGACAAGCTTGACAAAATACCGGTGCAAAAAAAACACCAAATGGGGGGGGGGGGCCTGGCCCCCTTGGCATCCCCAGTAGCTACTTAAATGCAATTGATCTGAAGGATTTCAAGCGGAAATTAAATTTGGCAGCCAAACAAGTGGGAACAGGGCTCGTGCAAAAGATGATGGGCCTTCTACGAAGAAAAGTTCGAGCAATGGACTATGATGCGAAGGAAGACTAAAAAAAAATGATCTTACAATAAGCATAATACCTACTAATTTACAGCTGTTACATTCAACTATGAAAATAAAACGCATTTTTAAACCCCAACAAGATTTTCAGGTCCGAATTTTTTAGTGTTCAAAAATGGACGCTTTTATCTGCAAAACCCATTCCCTTATTTTTTTATTTTTTGTGTGTTTTCGCCGCTTTTTTACAGAGACTTTAAGAAACTCTTAAATTTTGCATGATTAACATGATATTTTTGTGGACTCAGAAAAAATATATATGAGCTAGATGATTTTAACCAGGCGGCCGAGACGTTTGTTTTCTTTGTCGCGTTTGAAAATTTGGAAAAATTTAAAATTTATAATTTATGTGAGATAGTTTGTCTCGTAATTGGAGCACATTTTCCGCGATTCGAAATTCCAGTGATGACCTGTATTATATTTATACTTGGGTGCTGATCCGGTCAACAACTACCATAGATGGACCTGGGTTGCCACCAAAGCCGAGATTCTCTTCTTCTTGCTCTCCTTTTCAAGCTTATTGCTTAGCGCATATTAGCTTATTGCGTGCTCTCAACTTAGTATTTTAAATGCACTTCCACAGTTATTAATTGAGAGCTTCCGATGCCAATACCAATGCATGAATTTGTATATTGTTGCCACACAATGATATTTTATGTCCAGGGAAGTCGAGAAAATTTCCAACCTGAAAGATTCCCTCGACCGGATCGGGAATCGAACCCGCCACCTCCGGCTTGGTAATACCGTGCCTTTACTGACTACACTATGAGGCCCCCAAGCCGAGATTCAAGAAGTTATTTTCACGAGCAGCTCAATTCCTGGTGCAAATGGCCAATCATCAGCAACGGAAGATCTTCCATTCGGAACACCGCGAGTGCACGTACATCGGTGAGATCCTTCCATTACACTGTATTTTATATACCATTCATTACATTGCATATTACTGTTACATTCACTCATAACCTAGCTCGGAGCGTTTGTTACGGTATGTCCACGCATCCTTCCACCTCTTAAGATTCACGAAATGCATCGCTGTTTAGCTATACCATGCAAGCACCATATTTGACGCGTTCCTAATGATGAGGCACTCGTCTATTTTGACAAGATATTTTTTTAAACCTTGTAACACCATCATCCTTATAGCACAGAAACTAATATTTGCAGAAGTAACATTTCAAAAATAATTATTTAAAATAGTCGAACATTATGGAGTGCTTCGATTTAGGAACTGCTTCGAATATAGTGCCTCCACGGTTTATTTGAACTCGAATCCTTTCACAGAATCATCTTTGCGGCAAATGCAACGCAGTAGGCCTGGCCGTTTTGTTGTTTGTGTCATATCTCAGATATGCTGCAAACATCAATGTTGACAAGAAAAATGATTAGGTCTTATCTAACATAATGATTTTCCAGGATGCTTTCTTGTACTGGCTGCGATTGAATTAGATTAGATTAGATTAGATTAAATGAGCTAAATGGTTTTGACCAGCTTGTTGGTGTATACATTCTGTATTGGATAACAACAACAACAACAAAAACAAGCAGGAAGTGAAAAAGGTGCTTGACTTCCTTCCAAATGGTGGAAATAGAACGAAAGCGAAAAAAAAAATACCCAGAAACTGTAGCCACTTGTGTTCAAGTATTGGAGTGATAAATATTATTAAGTTTAGAATTAAGGGATGGAGAAACGAAGAAAATAAATGAAAAAAAGAAGGCCAAGCAATGGAAAACATAAAAGGAAGAGATGAAGTAGAATAATTTCATTAATTCTAATTAATTGTAAATTTATTCAAAATAATTCGGCCCCTTGGAATTTTTATAATGACATGAAAAAAGCGAAGCGAATAAAGGATCGCGATGAAGTGATTATACACAATCAGGTCTTTACACTTGGCTCAGGAAAAGTGGTTGTACAGCATTTAATGGTGCATTTCAGAAATAGATATAAGGATTTTGGGAGAACAGAATTTCTATTGCAAATGCATTGTGCATTTAAATATTTAAAAGTTTCTTTCTCCATTTATCTGCAGAATTCCTCCACGGATGTAATTTTAAGCTACCACTAAACTTGAATACCAACCGAACAACAAAGATAATCCCTTCCACTTCCACGCTGACTAATTGCGCTCAGTAATCGATACACGATAATGATTTATTTAGGAAACACAAACAGCTAAAGGAACTTTTCCTCTATCCCTCCCTTATATGTTATATGGACGATTATAAAACATTCAAATTAACATTAATCTTTCAACTGCTTACGTTTATTTCGGTTGGCTCCGACCTCAGCCATAGACTGGCAACGCTCCGCTGGTTCTGTTTCCGGATGCCTCGTTGTTTGTTTGTTGTGTCGTCCCACGCTTCAAGTTTGGTTGTCTGTGTCGTTCGAAAGAAAAACTGCGGGACCAGACTTTTTACTCAAACCACACTTTTCAGCCACTCTGTTGTTTTTCACCAACTCCGCGCAAACAAAAAAAAAAGCAAACGGTTTCACTTTTCTTTCAAACTGGCACAAAGTTAACTTGGCACTTTTCTTCCATCCTTCAGTGAAAACAAAAAAAAAAATAACAGTGTATCCTTTCAAATTGATAGCGTTTGCGCCACTTGTCAACTTTTTCCAAGTCTCAACAAACAGAATGGTAACTTTTTCCCAAGAAGAAAATTTTCACCTGGAGCTTATCTTCCCACACAATTGACGCGCTAAGTCCAACCCCGAATCAATTCAACAATCAAATTCTTCTATTACCTTCACCAAAACCAACGATCCGTGATTTTTCTTCACTATTCACCTTTCCGAACTGCCGACGAAAAAAACAAGCACCTCACAATTACATGAACAAATAGTGTAATCACCAAACTTCGAAATCCAATAACCCAAATCGTACCCGGAGCTCACGCACAAAGACTAGATTTTTTTTTTCAACCCCCACAGGAAAAACCCCACACACCACACTCTTCCGATGAATCCACCAAACGGTGCTAGGGTGTAAAACTGCAGCACTAAACCCCGGGAGCAAACTCGACAAGGACATCCATTCGGCACCGAAACTGAACTGCTTCTAAACCTCCAAAATGTGTGTAACGAGACGACGCCGACTTCGACGACCGACCGACCGACCGACGCTGCTCCCGAAGTTCTGACAACAGTCACTACTCTGCGTGTGTCAACCAGGATAAAAATGAAAAAAAAAAACAGACAAAAACGCGGACGAGAGGGTGGCTGTTCTAGCGTTCGTAGCTGTGTGGAGCTATTTTTCGTGTCGGGCGGCTTCGTTGTGGGCAACCCACCAACAGATCATCAAGCTGATAAGCTTCCATCACCCACCGATTACGCTGCTCGCATCCCTCCCATGACTCTCTCAGCAGAGTTCGCTCTTTCTCTCGTTCATTACTACACAGCCTGCTGCATACCATCAAAGCGGTTGTTTTCGTTTTGAGCACGTTTGAGAACGTTTTCGCCTTTTGGATCGGCGTGTGTAGCAAACAAACAAAAACGGAGGAGCCGGATGGTGGGTGGCAATGGAATATTGCTTCGGGATTGCCATATAGAGGAGGCGCCTGGTATTTCAGTACTTTTTTTTAATTTTTAACATCGAATCCGGCAGATGCCGCACTGCTAGTTAAAGGAGTTTTGTGGAATAAAATGTATACATTTTGTTCTGTACACGAATAGCAGTATGATTAAATGAGTTTACTTTACTTTCCCGATTAGAAAAACGCGAGTAAGTTTACTTCAATGAATTCTATATGGAACAAAAAGCAGATATTGATGTTTTAATAAAAGTCTGTTTTCCAGATGCTCGCCCTCTGGTGGTGAGTACTGTCAGATGCAGTACGAAGCATTCGATTCGGAACGTCCTTGTGTGGCCCGTGCGTGTGGCAGTGTGTGCATGGGCATGCTTCAGAACAATCCAACTCTTTTTGTTGTATTTGTGAGTGACATAATCAAAATCTGAGTGCCGAGTGAAATAGTATGATTGTGTGATTGAAATTTATATCAATATTTTATTTCAAAATTCCTGGCAGTATTTTGAAATCCGTTTGCGGTAATATGTTGCAACTGAAACGAACCTGTTGGCAGTGTTCGGTAAACCACGAAGATATTGGTCAATGCTGAATACGTATTCTAATGGCGAACGTTATAGTTTATTTCACAGATAAATATTGAATAAATTAAGTGTGAAATTGTGCTTGTGCCACGGTAAAATTGATCCTACGCGTGCCCCGTAGTGATCATTTAGTGGATAAGTAGGAGAACAGTTGCTGCTGCAGCTGGTTCTTGTTCAATTTTGTGTTTTTTTTTTGTAAGCTACGGCATTGTAAATTTCTGCTTTCGTTCGTGTTAACTTGTGTCTCTGTAGTGTTATTGTAATTGTAATATATGTAATTTGGAGATTTTGGTAAGTGATTTGCCAGTTATCTGTGTGTGTAAGTGTGCTAGTGTCCCAAGTAACACATAAAACATCTTTTTGAAAAATAATTAGAATGGCTTGTTATATAAATGTATTATAAGTGATGCAGAAAACATCCCACGTTATATATGAGGTTTATAGATGTTTTCTTCATACTTGCTAGATTCAACATTTTCCAAAATAGTTTTCTTTTGCTTTTATGTTTAAATGCTATTTAAACGTGCATCTTACTGTTTTAATACCACTATAAAACTTGTCGTGTACAAAATCAATCTTAGTTGAAGTTATAAAGTTCTTGAAGAGATTCTGAACTTTCCAGATTGACGTAAACATTGACGGCGCCATTGAGTCGGACTGTCTCTTCACGCAGTGATTGACAGTTTCTTATGAGGTATTCGGAGGTTTGTTATAAAGAAAGTTGAAAACACTTGTTTATGACATCTCATAAATTAATAGAACTGAAAATGTGCAGGTTGTCTTATAAGCAGTTGAAAATACTTTAAAATAACACTCTGGCAATTAGATGTACGCTTTGCTGCTATCAAAACATCTTTATGACGGATCGAAAGCGTGTTGAACGAGAATATAATTTTCATGCCATTGGCAAGAACATGATAGATACTTATAACACACCTCGCATCAAGCGGAGTTGGTCTAGTTAGGAAGTAATAAGTCTACCACGCCAAGGACCAGTGATCGAATCCCATGTTCAAGTTTTTTTTATTGTTTTTTTTTTGCCGCTGGTTTTTATGATGTTTCCCAAACATGTTATAAGACTAGTATTTAGTTGTATAAGCTCCGTGTCTTGCACTTTTTAGGTTATATAAATGTATTAAATGACGTATATTACAGCATTATTGATTCCTTACGTAAGTCATTAAAAAGTATATTCAACTTCTTTATGACAAGCCGTGTTGCTTGGGGTATTTCATTGCAAATTCACTTACGCGGACTCAGGCAAAGCTTATCACGGACAATGCAAATGTGCTGTTCAAGTGTGATAATTGTCTATCAGATCAGACGAGCAGAATGATGTGATCTCGCGCGTCAAAAGGATAGAGGAAGAGATGAAGAATGTATTTCAACTCTCGAACTCGATCACTGGCATGCGAGATCACATGTGAAATTTTGTTGTTAGCGGAATGCTTAAATAAAACAGTAAACACGACTACAATGTGCAGTCTTCATTAGTGTCATTCCCACTAAAGACCTTATCAAAATCTAACCCCCTTAAGTACTCAACCCCTAGGTAAAAAAGTCAAGATCATAGGTATAAAAATGAAACTACAATGTGTTGAATCGGAACCTACCTAACTAATAAAAACCAAAGATGTAAGTAAACTAAAGTAGAAAAATCTATACAACTCTCACATTGCTGCTCAGATAGACATCGCGTTAAAGAACGGGATGGTAAACATTAGCCGAAATGTAAATGGTATTGAAAAATTAATTTGTGATAAATTGGACAATATGAAAACCTCATTTTTTCAAATTACTGCAGAGAAACAATTAGCTGTTATGAATGACCAGCGCAGTGTATCTAGGAGGGTTCAGTTGCAATCGGACCAAAATACCAGACGCAAAAAACCTAGGGGCATCCCACTCTAAACTTTGTATTTCTCGCGTTCTACACAGAAACTCCTTACTGTTATCTAAGATACCTAGAAATACTTAAAAATACTTAAGAAATATTTAGCGTTAGTTGCTATACGGGTTGCTATACAAATTTAATTTGTTTGTTTATCTAATATCGTCTAGCATTTTTCAGCGGATATTTTTAATGTAGGTACCCATTCTTTGCAAGAAATTCAATCATTATAATGCCTTACATGAAGTGACGGAATGTTATCCCGATTATGGCTTCTATTTAAAGAACAAATTGAATTATGCCACGCTGCAAGCACTCAAACATTTCACGTTATGGTCTAACTCTGTCTAGGTGAAAATTAGGCTATTGCCAGTGTGACACTAACTGAAGTAATTTAGGCTGATCGGAGCTGAATTTGAAGTTGTGAAGGCTTTCCACACCATTCGCACCTTACTTTAGCATCCCGAGAATCACATCTCATAGCTTCCCGCCGAATGTGTTTATCTAAAAGTGGAGAATAATTTCTAGTATTTGGAACCTTCGACGCTCTTATTCTAAACCATCGATTTTCAAAATGGAGTTCGCGAACCCCCAATGAACGAAAAGCACATAAAAGGAATTAGGCGATGTAGACCGAGCTGATCGGTGAGGCAACGTTGATAATCGATGTTCTAAACTATTATCAAGTCTACATAAGATCGAAACGGCACATCCCCTTTTTTATAATGTTGGAATGGTTCAATTACTGCTTCTATAAGCCCTAGGTTTTCAAATCGTGTACCGTGTATATGAGACCAGTGAGCATGCTCCAGGTGTCTGAAAATACTGCTGTAAGCTTTCAGAAACGGTTGTGGTATGTTAAAATATTAATTATAAAATTTATATTTGCAAAATACAAACAAGCTAATGAAGTGTTCTTTTTATTGTAAGAATTGCATAAATTATTATTTCACAATATTAAAATGTATTTCCCCCCTTGACAAACTTGGCAGACTTCTTATTCATCGAGTCACCTGGTTGCCTCTATAGAACATAAAGGTAATGAAGCGAATGTTTTGCGATCCTCAATCATCATCCGAAACCTAAAAGCACGAAATCTATGTAGAGTTTTAAAAAAATCATTGAATCCTAGTATGATAGTAGGATCTTAACTTTCTCACCAGTACGGCATAATCCAGCAATGTCTTCTTCTTCTTCTTCGCATTTCAAGCTTATTGCATATCGCAAATTAGCTTATTGCGTGCTCTCAACTTAGTGTTCTAAATGCACTTCCACAGTTATTAATTGAGAGCTTTCGATGCCTTAACCATTTTTGCATTGGTATAATTGTGTGGCTAGTCCAATCATACTTCTATGCCCAGGGAAGTCGAGAAATTTTCCAACGAGAAAAATTCCTAGAACGGACCGGGAATTGAACCCATCCACCTCCAGCATGATCTTGCTTTGTAGCTGCGCGTTTACCGACTGAGCTAAGGGAGGCCCCAGCAATCCAGCAATGTATGCTCCTCAAATAGTGGCACTATGGGGAGGTCCACCATCCCAACGAATAGTTCCTGCTGCAGCATCTGTAAATGGTACGTTTCACTATCGTGGTTCACTAGCAAATGAGCAGCATAGCTTCGGTTTATTTGATCTGCTTGAGCATTGTCTAGAACTCATACAATTTTCAGGCGAAATAATATGAAGGAAACTCTTGGTCGAAGACCTTGGTGATTTAATTGGACAGGTCAGAATAATTCCAGTTTCACGTCCTTTAATGCCTACGGAATCTTAATGTTTGGTAACGCATGGAACAGTCAGTTAGAATAAATCAGCAGTTCGAATCGGATGATTGAAAACAGTCCAATGAATATTCTGCCTGGTAAGCTGATTTTTTTTACTTTGTTACACTATTTCATAGAAGAAATTAAAATACTTACCCATTAATTGACATGATATATATATGTATAATTTAAATTAAACATGGTAAAATTAGTATCAATTCCACTAAATTCGAGACAAAAACTCATAAATCGTCCAAGTTAAAACAACAAGTGG